TCAAACTCTACGGTAAGCTTTGCTTTCAAATTATAAGTGACGCTGGAGGGTCGAATGCCTGCGAGGATGATCAGTTTACTTCAGCTGCAAAACGTTTTCGTTCTTTTACCCACTATTCCCAAGGATGTTTCGTGAAAATCTACTTTTTTTCTATATGCACTGTGGCTCTTCGACCAAATGAGAACAAACTTTTGAGCTGCCGCACATGTTTCTCATTTTTTGGGTCAAAAATCAAAACATCCTCCGTACTTGCCTCTTCTGAGAGATGAAGCTACTCAGAAGCATTCCGAGGGTGGAAGTTACTGTCAGCAGCGATTAATGATACTTTCTTTCGATGGCTTCTGAGCAGCAAGACCAGACTGATTGTACTTTAATTTGTAAGCTGTGCAAATTCGTTATTTATCATCCTGCAGCCTCTGATGTTCCTGAGCACGCGTTTCCATTTTCGACAAGTGATCCTTATATCTGACCAGTGGCCCTTCTTCACTGTGTCTTTACGATTATGCTTGTAGATGCCACTTACACGGAGCGTTACATGGGCGATGCATCGGAGCTTGCATACGAAAGAGCGAATCTTGTTCGCAATGTTAGCATGTTCAAACACGTGAAATTTCTTCTCGTGCACGGTACCGCTGATGGTAAGTCCTAAAAATTAGCAATTATATAATATTACGGCACATCTGAAACAGCTACAATTCACAGTAAACTTCTCCAACTGTGTAGCTGGCTACTTCTCCAGTTTCTCTGACCAGTGCTGCATCGTCTGGTGCTGACGATCCTGACGTTCGTTTCATTTTCCGAAAGGATTGAAATAGTGCTGAATCGGTGCGCTAAAAGTTCATATTTCTGGATTTGTAAGTTAAATGACAGGAACAAATATGACACTTTACGTGCAAATATGATATATTGATTTATGATTTCAGAATATTTTGTTATTTTGAAAGGGCTCTGTCATCAGTAAAAATTTTGCATTAAATCAATACGTTTAAGAACTGATCGAATCTCCTGTGCTTCCATGTTCACGCCTTTTTGTTTTGTCACAGACAGCTAGAACTGAGTATATCGCAAGTGCCTTAGCAGCGCTCAGTTGATTAAAACATAGCAGCTTAAACTGCACTGATGCAATTGTACTCCAGAAGTTCCCAAAAATAGCTATATTGTAAGGTTTATTGTGTGTTTTAAAGTTCAGCACAGGGATAGGAAATTCTCGTTGGGGAGATGGCTGTGCCCTGAGTTATGTACTGGCATCTGGTCGTTAGGTGAAATTTGTATAGCTTGTCATTTAGATTTTCTAGTTGTGAAAAATGCTGATTACTGACTTTCAGTGGTTCACAGAATTATGCTAATCTATGTTTGTGACCCCAGAAATTATCATTTTACAGATAATGTGCATTTGCAAAATTCGGCGGAACTAATCCGAGCATTGGGTGAAGAAAACATACAGTTTCAACTGATGGTATGCAGATTTTTTCACCTGAATTAATCGAAAATCGCTGTACTAACATAATAATCATAACTTTCACACATATTCTCATTTCAACAATCATTTTTGAGAAATTTCCTTACAAAGTTTTGCTAGCAGTGTGGCATGTGTGCTTTTCATAACATTTACTTAGCTTTCTATCTTTTTTCTAATTGAAATGGCCACTGGTTCATCTGACAGCCATATCACTTTTTTATGCGCTTTGTGCTGTGCAACAGCTGCACAAAATGCATATTGTTAGGAGTTGTGTGTGTGTGTGTGTGTGTGTGTGTACGTGGGTGTGGGTATATGTCCAATGCATCTTGTCCGCAACTTTCAACTCGGAAACCACAAAAGCTAAGAAACTAAAAATTTAGGAGAATGTCCCCCGTTCATATATGATCCCGCAAATTTAAATTCAGTCTTTCCGTGCCCGCGTTCAACGTGTACGGCCCTGTGAAAGTTTTGGCGGGTAAAATTATTATTTCGGCAACCACGAGGGCTAGGAACCTCGAATTTTATCGTTACACCACTGCTTACGTGCGACCCAGAAAATTTAAATTCAGCCTTCCCGTGCTCGCGGGTAACACGCACCGCCCCGTGAAAGTTCTGGCGGGAAAAATTATTTTTCTTCGTTCTGATGCTCATCGCTTGGTGAGCCTTCTGGTAATCCTAGCGACTGTTTCGTATCTTGAAGGAATTGCCGACTCAGTGCCACTTTCTCCACCGAAGCGCTTTGACAGTACTTTAGCCACTTGAAGATTCAGTGGTGTGTGTGTGTGTGTGTGTGTGTGTGTGTGTGTGTGTTGAGTACCACTACCTTGTGCCTTCAGGCGTTGCTACCTTCAGACCATCATGTTAAGTTACCTTGACGTCTGGAAGAATGGCGGTGTTATTTCGTAAATTTGAAACAGTTCCAGCAGTGTTGCAGGTGTATCCGGATGCAAGCCAC